AATAGTTTACACATACAGCTTTTGTAGAAAGAGCTCCACGGAGAAACAAACATAATATAAGTTTTCCAATCATCAGAAGAAGTCCCCCTTCAACAAGTGGTTAGGCGGGAAAATCCTGAATAGACCCACTGCCTCACCAACAAGCAGGTCGTAAGAGTCGCCTAGCTGAGGGGCTTCCTTCGAAGTTGGAGTTCATTTTACTGAGAGGCAAGAAACTAACAATCTGCATACATATATGTCAGATCTGTAAAACAGATGTGCACAAAACACTCAGGTGCAAAATCTAAAGTCTGGAGGTGGACAAACAACCTGATCTTTCCACCGGAATTTTCAGTGAGTGAACGCAAAGAAGAAGAACCCCTGAATTACTCATATTTTATGACATGCTTGTTTGGGGCAGTAGATCGATCCCTCATACTCCCCCCCCCCCCCCCCCCCCCCCCGCCCCCACTAAAGCACCAGAACCCACATGAGCAATCAACTATTCTATTAGCTGTGCTGATAAAAATGATGACTTGTGTTTCAGCCATCACCACACAAGCGGCTGAAACATGCAGGAGACATTTCATGAGTCTATGGTAGTGTTTCCAAAACTTTTCTTACTCATGGTGCCTTTTTTTTTTTTTTTTAAACTAACATTTTTCCACAGCATTCTAACCTAAGTAAAAGTACGACTATTCATATATAAGAGATTAATTTAAAAAAAACACACACAAAATCTCATGTAACTTCGAATATTTTGCGGTGCCCTGTGAAGAGGTCGCGGCTAATTGGGGCGCCGCGGCGTACAGTTTAGGAATCACTGGTCTATGGTATACAACAAGCCTCAGCTCGTGCTGACAAATATCTGAACTATGAATTATCGCACCATCCCAGGGCTCCACTGTACAGTCGTCACTAACAAGTGAGTGTCTGCACAAGTCTTACAGGCATGACTCACGATAGATGCAGCAGCTGTAGCATATGAAACACTGCATGGATGATGGTAGTTGTAGAAGTAATTATGGTGGTAGTTGTGGTGATAGTGGTAAAACTTGCAGTAGTCGTGAGGATGTAGTGGTGGAAGTGGTAGCAGCAGTAGCAACAGCAGTAGTAGTGGTAGTAGTGGTGGCAGCAACAGTATTAGTAGTTGTGGCAGTAGTGTTGGTTTTTGTAGTAGTGGTGGTGGTGGTAGTAGTAGTGGTGGTAGTAGTAGTGGTGGTGGTGGTAGTAGTAGTGGTGGTGGTAGTAGTAGTAGTGGTAATAGAAGTAGTGGTGACAGTAGTAGTGGTGGTAGTAGTGTTGGTAAAAGTAGTAGTAGTTGTGGCAAAGATGTAATTAATGGTAGTAGTGGTAACAGCAATAGTACTTGTAGTGACAGCAGTATAGTCACTAGCAGCATCAGCATAAGTGGTAGCAACTGCTTACTGCACTACACCAGTAATAGCTACATGTAGCAGAAGTAGCACCAGCAGTATCAGCAACAGCCGTGTAGCAGCAAACAAAATCAGCAGCAATGGTAACAGCAGTGATATGATGGCAATGATTGTTGCAGTGATAGCCAGGGCTTTTCTTCCTTGCACTATTGTAATAGATGCTGTGTGGTGAGTACCATCACCTTCTAAAAGACACTTTATAGTGGTGCACACTTTATGGTGGTGCACACTTTATGGTGGTGCACACTTTATGGTGGTGCACACTTTATGGTGGTGCACACTTTATGGTGGTGCACACTTTATGGTGGTGCACACTTTATGGTGGTGCACACTTTATGGTGATCACCAGCCAAGCACCTTTTCTTTTTCTAGGGGGAAAAAAAGCCCTGGTGGTAGCTATGTGGTAACAGCAGCCATGGTATAAACAATTCAAAAATGCTGGCCACAGCAAAATATTATTGAAACAAACAGAAAAGTCAACAGTCTTTTTCAGCACATTGAGACAACTTAACGTTGTGGCATTAGGAAACTTTGCACAACTGTATAGGAAAGCATGCATCCTGCATTGGCTTGCCTGTTTGGTCCCAACACTTTGACGAGTGGGGCCAATGATAGCGGACACTGGACCTTTTCATCAATGTATCATTCAATCAGTTGGATAATTTATGGTGGGACATCTGAACCATGTTTTTCAGCCAGTAGGACAATATGGCAGTCAGATTTTTGGTCATGACAATCAGACAAGTGGGGTCAATGGCACTGGACATGTTAATAGTTATGTGTCACACAGCAGGACGTCCGACCATCGCACTTTTGGTGCCAACACTCGGACGAGTAGGAACAATGGCAGTGAATGTTTTTACCCTGCCCGTCACACAGTAAGACATTTATTGGTTTGGACATCTATGTTTGCTGTTAAGCTGTGTGACCTCTAGATGACGGACATTTTAAGCCCAGTTACCCGTTCAGTAGCACTTTTGATCAACATACTTGTCAACCACATGTCATAAGACAATTCTTAACAATCACAGAATTAACCCATCTATATCAAGTAACCCTCCCCGTTTTTCCCTAATACATACCAAAAAAAAGCAATATATATTACTGACAACCCATCCCTCCCCCGCCCTTCCCCAAAAACATCTTGTACTGACAATGTTCAATAGCAGGAAAATGTCCATAATTAACACACTCTCTCATGGCTCCCCTTAAAAAAAAAACTTGCTTTACAAATATATTAAGAGGTATTAAAGGTTCAGATTTATTTCTAGCAAGAGAGAGAGGGAGGGAAGGAAAGAGGGGTTGGGGGGGAGAGAGAGAGAGAGAGAAAGAGAGAGAGAGAGAGAGAGACAGAGAGAGAGAGAGAGAGAGAGAGAGAGAGAGAGAGAGAGAGAGAGAGAGAGAGAGAGAGAGAGAGAGAGAGACAGAGACAGAGACAGAGAGAGCAACGACTTTACACATTTAGTTTTGTATGCATCCCAAGAACCGAACCACACCCATCTCTCTACCACTAGATTATCCTCTCCACCCACATTTATTAGGCTGCTAATTCCCCCCCCCCCCCCCCTTTTCTCCTCAGTAAAACACGTGATTCCAAGCCCACTGGCTACACAGCTCCTATAACATCACTGCCAGGTTCAGAGCCACACATTCAAAAAAAGGTAAAGTCGGGAGATTTTAACCAGCGTCAGTGCACACGGTTATAAACCATAAGTGCTCTGCCGCCAGTACAGACAGCTGATAAGAATTGTCAGCCTGTGTCGCCGTCCGCACGTAACTCTGTGGCTACAACGACGTTCCTCCATTTACCCCAGAGAGTTAACTCTGGTACCCATTTCCTAGAGGCTGGGTGATCTTGCCCAAAGACTAATACACAAAAAAGATTTACACATCTCTAATACATACACAGGAACCTCCCGTTGACTCGAAGATCTGGGGCTCTAACCAACATCAAGGAAAGTATTTTTCAAAACCAACCTTGGCAGATCCAGCCTACAGTGGGTATCAGGTAAAGGCAGCTATCATGAACCTTGGTGCACAGGTAGACCCAGCCTACAGGGGGTATCAGGTAAAGGCAGCTATCATGAACCTTGGTGCACAGGTAGACCCAGCCTACAGTGGGTATCAGGTAAAGGCGGCTATCATGAACCTTGGTGCACAGGTAGACCCAGCCTACAGTGGGTATCAGGTAAAGGCGGCTATCATGAACCTTGGTGCACAGGTAGACCCAGCCTACAGTGGGTATCAGGTAAAGGCAGCTATCATGAACCTTGGTGCACAGGTAGACCCAGCCTACAGGGGGTATCAGGTAATGCCCTAGGAGGTAAAGGCGGCTATCATGATGCTGACCTCCTCACCTATTGGATGATGTATAAAACATGCAGGTCTAGCACTACATGTTTACCGCATCTATGGCATGGGTCCCCAACCAACATCGGTCATGACCCCAAAATAAGGTTGCAATGGGTTTTCTCTGGGGTCATCAGGCAGTTGTGTGCTACGAAAATGTTGTTAAAGGGCAACAACAACAACAAAAAATCACTCACAGCATCCTGTTTGCAGAAATGCAGGACAGTCAATATCCCTCTTGTTACCCCCATTTAAAATCCAATGTTTAATATGTATTGGGTCACAAATCATTTTACCTCTGTAAAATAGGGGTCACCACTCGAAATAGGCTGGGAACCATTGCTAAAGGTGTGACAAGGTTCTCTACTTACTTTGCTCAATACACACATGAATGAAACCTAACCAGACTGTGCCATTTGGGCAGTGATATGAGAATCACACCAAGGAAGTGATCAGGGCCTTGATGAGTTATTTTTCCGGGGCTTTTAAAAAGACCCTTGACCACGCCTTAAGGCGTATGGGCATATAGGGCTAGACCTATATTTTATAGACCAGCGGCACAAGATGGATGATGTGGTCAGCCTTTACTTCCCGGGACTGCACTCGGTACCCACTCAAGGCTGGGTCGACCTGGGAGCCAAGGTCATTTTTGAAGAAAAGTCCGGCTCCGCCAGGGAGCGAACCCACGACCTTCAGATCCCTGTAGCGCATTTCTGGGGCTTTACTAAGTAATATCCCCGAAGACAGCAGTAAATGCACATATTCACTGCAGTCAACTTCCATTGTAGATACTGTACAAATACATTTTTTTTTTACATAGAAACCTAACTTGCAACCGATTTCCTCATAACTCTTACAATGCATTTTTAAAAACAAAGCAATAACATCATATAATGCCAGCATTTTTCAAAACAGAAAAGCCTAAACTTGCAACGTCTTCCACATGCATGAGAAGAATACCAGCAAACAGTCCAAGCAATCGCCTACTTTTGGAAACCCAAGCACGGCATCTCATCAACGCCCACACATACAATAGGCAGCATTCTTCAGAGTCACAGTCTGGCACAAGACACAATGGCATGCACATCTAACACAGCGGACTAAACAGAGACAAGATTCTGCAACCTTACAGGAGATGGGCTACCGAGAATACAGACCTGAAGGGATTTTGGAGGGCATTATATCATTTGAACCTAGATCCTATACTAGGATCTGTAGGTTCCCTTGCTTACTTACCTCTTTGTCATCAGCGGTGATTCCATCAAAGACCATGGCCACCAGCTCATCAGAATCCTTGTCCAAGAGGAACACAGAGCACCTAATGGGGAGATAACTTTTAGTTTAGTAGAGATATACTTTTCCCCGACTATCTCTCACACATGTATACATACATGCACACACACGCAAGCATGCCAGATGAAAACAAACATGTACAAGGTTGTAATCTCCTCAAAGAAGATGACCATTAGCTCATCAGAATCCTTGTCCAAGTGGAACACAGAGCACCTAATGGGGAGATAACTTTTAGTTTAGAAGACATATACTTTTCCCCGACTATCTCTTATAAATGTATGCATGCGCACACACATACAAGCAAGCATGCATGCAGACACTGTCTATTTTCTTCTTCTTCTTCAGCATTCCGAGACCTTGAGGTTCATTGCTGCAGATATCACCCACCTCCATTCATCTCTCTGGTTGGCCTTCTCTTTGCAGTTGGTAACATAAAGTGTTTGCAGGTCTGTCTGGACATTATCTCTCCATCGTCTTATTGGTTTGCCTTGTCGTCTACGACCACTCATCTGCCTTGTGTATAGTTTTTACCGCTCTGTTACCTGATATTCTCTAAATATGTCCCAGCCCTTTCAACCTATTAGCTCTCATGATGCTAATGATCAATGGTGATTGAAACAGATTATGAATTTCGTTATTGCATCTCACTCTCCATTCCCTGCTGTTTGCATCTTTGATGGGTCTAAAGATTTGTAGTAAGACTCTGTTTTCGAAAAGGCTTCATCTCTTTTAGCTGTGCTCAAAGTTTCAGAACCATTTAACACGACTGGTCTAATCAACGTTTTATATATTTTGATCTTGGTGTAACATAGACCTTTATAATCACGAGGAAGGACATACATCAGGAGAAGTAATCGATTCACCCACATTAAATGAACTACTGTTTGCTGACAACCAGTGCTTGTTCTACCCTGAAGAACATATACTGCAAGACCACATTAACAGGTTGAACTCAGCATGTAATAAATACAACATGAAGATCAATGTAAACAAAACCGAAACAATGCAAGTTAGTAGACATTCTGCCCCACTACACATACAGCTGAATGGTTCTGCCCTGAATTAAGTTAGGGAGTTTAAATATCTAGGAAGTATGATCACAGAAGATGGTAGAATTGACAGAGAAATAGAAACCAGATGTCAATAAGCAAGTGCACTTATATACCAATTGTCACCATTATTAAGACATCCAAGCATAACTATGAGTGCAAAGAGACAGATTAATAATAGCATTTTATTTATTCCAACATTGAGCTACCAGTGCCAAACATGGACACTATCTAAAGCCCATATACGCAAAATTACCACCTGCGAGATGAGGTGCCTGAGAAAAGCAGCCAACCTAACCATCTGAGATCGAGTGAATAATGAAACTATCAGGCAAATTGTGGGAACGACACCTTGTACTAGATTCATAGAGAAAGAGCAGATCAAGTGGTTTGGCCATCTCGTTTGAATGCAGCAAGATCAAATACCATCACAAGCACTACATCTCAGAAGATCAGCTACAAGAGCAAGAGGACGGCAACATTAAAGACACTCTACACCTTCATGGCATGACAATAGCCAGTGGCAGCCAACGTGCACTGGATCGCAAATTATTCCTCCCCACGCCACTTAACGGCAGAGGTGGTTCATGATGATGATGATGATGATGATCTTGGTGTTGCGAGACACACACTTTGACTTTAGCAGATGATGAAAGGCACAGTGTACTTTATGTGCAGACGTATTCTAGAATGTATTTCCTCTCTCAGCATGTCGGAGCAGTGGAAGTTTGCACCCAAGTACTTATATATGTATCCATTCGTTCAGACACTGTCTATGCAAGATGAAAACAAACGTAATTCTGTCAAAAACAAAGACCACCAGTTCGTCAGAATCTTTGCCCAGGGCAAACATGGAGAATCTAATAATGAGAGTTTAGTACAGGTGTTCCTCAACTTTTTCACACCTGCGGCCCACCAGCACAGGTGAAACTGTTTCACTGCCCCTCTGACAGCTAATCAAACACAGAAACAAAACCAAACTTAGTACTTTATTGGTTAAATTTGATGTCACAAAATTTACCATTTTCAGCTGATGCGAAATCTTCTGTTTCTTACACATCAGGTGTTAAACCTACAGACTGCAATCTTGGAAGAGAAAGAAAAAAACTAGACTCCCTACCCCGTTACACTCTTATGAAAGAAATGTTTGGCAGTCCATCGGAACAGGCCTGGGCACACCAGCTGAAAAACACTGGTTTGGTAGACATAGAGAGAGAGAGAGAGAGAGAGAGAGAGAGAGAGAGAGAGAGAGAGAGAGAGAGAGAGAGAGAGAGAGAGAGAGAGAGAGAGAGAGAGAGAGAAAGTCCATTCAAGATCACAACAAAGATTTAATGAGGCTGTGCTATCAAGGTTCATGCCATCGGTTCAAAACAATTCTTGTCCAGAAGAAACAAAAAGAGGACCTAATGGGGCGATAACTTTTGTTTAGTCAGACATATTTGAATCTGGACCTGTTTCCTTCAGAAAGATCTGTTATGTACACAAATCAAATAAAGCAGTTCATGCTATAATTTTATGTCATTGGAAGTTAGGACAAGAATTTTTGCATGCTATATACAGCCAGTTTTAAAATACGGCTGTGAAGCCTGGACAATTAATAAACAAGCCGAAAAACATCTTGAGGCCAGGGAGATGTGGTTTTACAGAGGAATCCTTAGAATTCCTTGGACAGCAAACAAGAGCAACCCAGATGTTTTGAAAGACGCAAATGCTCAAAGACAACCTATCATAAACATCAGAAAGAGACAGTCATCATTTTTCGGCCATGTTATGAGAAGAGGGAAAATGGATCATGTTGTGACCACTGGAAAGATTTGTGGAAAGAGAGACAGAGAATGACAGCGCGAAAAGATTCTTGACAGCCTTTTTGTCATGGCATGGACATGGTGTCAGCACACGAAATGATACAAGCAGTTGAAGATCACAGATTGTGGAGAGGCATGATCGCCCACGCCAGTCGGCAAGGCACTTGATGATGACGATGATGATGTACAAAATGCCCTGTTGAACCTTTGCAAGAAAGTTATAAGTGGGGTGGCCAGTCAAGTGTTAAAACAAAATCCTGAAGAAGTTTTGTGCATCTCAGGACTACATAGCAAAAACACTGACCATGTCAGTTAACTCACTTGTGAGAAAAACACTGACCATGTCATTTATCTCACTTGCGACAAGAACACCAACCAAGTCATTTATCTCACATGCGACAAGAACACTTACCTCTCAGCATCTGTCAAGTTTCTGGCTTCTTGCATAATTTCCCGTAGCAGTTTGGTGAGGTCATCTATGAACAAATAACACAATAAAAGACTCTTAGACCACAGACTAAGAAAACCTTTTACCAAGGACTTTTTTTATCCACACAGGTGAGACATGGCTGGCCTAGTCGTTACGGGTGTGCCCTAATTATAACTCCTTAGGAGGTTGAACGGGGTATCCAGGATCCACCTTGTTGATCTGCCGTCCAGACTGAGATTTACAAATTTCAGGATGGTATGGTAAACCACTAGATAGCAACCAAGAGGGGACAAACCAATCTATTGATTACTATACCAGATTACATGACACAAATAAATTTAGACTACGTCCTCTAGTAATAATGCTACCCATTATGTTAGGTTATACAGTCAGAAGACTGGTAAAAAGCTTCTACACCAGCGGTTCTCAACCTGTTTGTCGAACAACCCTTTCACGAGGGTCATCTAAGACCATCAAAAAACGACATATTCATTGAAGTTATGAAGAAGCAAAAAATTAATTGTATGGTTGGGAGTTGCCACAACATGAGGAACTGTATTCAAGGGTTGCCACAACACACAACATGAGGAACTGTATTCAAGGGTTGCCACAACACACAACATGAGGAGCTGTATTAAAGGGTTGCCACAACACACAACATAAGGAGCTGTATTAAAGGGTTGCCACAACACACAACATGAGGAGCTGCATTCAAAGGTTGCCACAACACACTAACATGAGGAGCTGCATTAAAGGGTTGCCACAACACACAACATGAGGAGCTGTATTCAAGGGTTGCCACAACACACAACATGAGGAGCTGTATTCAAGGGTTGCCACAACACACAACATGAGGAGCTGTATTCAAGTGTTGCCACAACACACAACATGAGGAGCTGTATTAAAGGGTTGCCACAACACACAACATAAGGAGCTGTATTCAAGGGTTGCCACAACACACAACATGAGGAACTGTACTCAAGGGTTGCCACAACACACAACATGAGGAACTGTATTCAAGGGTTGCCACAACACACAACATGAGGAGCTGTATTCAAGGGTTGCCACAACACACAACATGAGGAGCTGTATTCAAGGGTTGCCACAACACACAACATGAGGAGCTGTATTCAAGGGTTGCCACAACACACAACATGAGGAGCTGTATTCAAGGGTTGCTACAACACACAACATGAGGAGCTGTATTCAAGGGTTGCCACAACACACAACATGAGGAGCTGTATTAAAGGGTTGCCACAACACACAACACGAGGAGCTGTATTAAAGGGTTGCCACAACACACAACATGAGGAGCTGTATTCAAGGATTGCCACAACACACAACATGAGGAACTGTATTCAAGGGTTGCCACAACACACAACATGAGGAGCTGTATTCAAGGGTCGCAGCATTAGGAAGGTTGAGAACCACTGTACTAAACAGATCTGCGAGCTGCTTATAAAATTAACTATCTGAAAGGTAATGACGTGGTTTCCCCTAGCCCCAAAGTATGTTGTGTATCAGATTACTGAAGCAAATCAAATATACACAATAAATAGTGAGAGACCATTTAAACACAATAAATAAATGAAACCACAGACATATTAAATATGAGAAACCCACCCACCCAAATACACACACAATATGAGAAACTATATGTATACTTTAAAAAGAGAAAGCACATTTACACATTAAACACGAGAAACCACATGAAAACGGAAACTATATTTGCAAATTAAATAAGAGAAATCGTACTGATATACTAAAAAAAAAAAAAAAAAAAAGAGAAACCACACAGATATAATAAATAGGAGAAACCACACAGAAACATTAAAGAGGAGAAACCACATATATACTTTAAATAAGTCATCAAAAAATCAGAGAAAAAACATATCAATGTAATTTTAAGACAGGACAGAACAGGTCTGAAGGCAGCTGATTAGACAGGAACTAATTGGAACTACTGGATATGAAGGTGATTAGAGGTTGACTGACTGGAACTACTGGATATGAAGGTGATTAGAAGTTGATTGACTGGAACTACTGGATATGAAGGTGATTAGAAGTTGGCTGACTGGAACTACAGGATATGAAGGTGACTAGAACTTGATTGACTGCAACTACTGCATTAGAACTTGACTGATTGGAACTATTAGGCATGAAGGTGGCTGAATATAACTGACTGATTCGAACTTCTGGGCATAAAGGTCGCTGAATAGAACTGACTGATTCGAACTATTGGGTAAGAAGGTAGCTGATTAGAACTTGACTGATTGGTACTATTGGGCAGGAAGGTGCCCCCCACCCCCCCTCCCCCCCCCCCAAAAAAAATGCCAATAACTGCCTTTATTAACACTTTTGCGGTGTAGTTTTTGTGCATGAGGATTTACGGCCGCATGGCTGGTGCTGTCCCCACGGCTGTGCAGGTGAGAATTTTATTTTGCCCCCGACTGAAAAAATTCCCAGCCTTAACTAGGATCCGAACTGGGGTTTCCGGCTTGAGAGCCCAGCGTTCCAATGGGTCGGCCAGCGGCTCCTCTCCTGAGAGTGGCTGAACAGAACTAATTCGACCTATTGGGTAAGAAAAGTGGCTGATTAGAACTTGACTGATTGAGCATGAAGTTTGCTAAATAGAATTGACTGATTCGAACTAGTAGGTAAGAAGGCGGTTGATTAGAACTTGACTGATTGAGCATGAAGTTTGCTAAATAGAATTGACTGATTCGAATTAGTAGGTAAGAAGGTGGCTGATTAGAACTTGACTGATTGAAACTACTTGGTATGAAGGGGATTTGAGATTTTGAGAAAAAATGATAAAAAAAAGGAGGGGGGGGGGGGGGAGAAATATAGACAAAAAAGCATGTTTTATATGAGTTTACAGTTTCATTCTGACAATACACAAGATATATCACATATAAGACAGCAGACTGGGACAATAACAAACTAGACATCTGTCTGGTTTCTTAAAACAGCTGAAGCTTTCTTTGAGGACAAATTGCATATAAAAACATTCAAATGTATTCAACATAACTGCAGAATTTACAAAAGACACATATAAACAACTTGTGTCTATAATCCTTAACATAATATGTTAGATATTGAAAGTAACATATTTTTGTCTTATGAAGCCATACTTGTATCACCTCATTACAGAATGATAACATTTGCAAAAGAAAATTAAATGTAGTATCTGAACAAGAAAATAAGTAAACAACATTTTTTTTTAGAAATATACATGTAAAAATTGAACAAATACAACTGGCATTAAAAGTTTGTAAACACAATAACAATATTTTAAAGGTTTCAGTGGTTTTCAGTCATCAAACATTTGTTCGTGTCAACAACCTATGTCTATAATTTATTTAAATGCAATCAATCAGGTGCCTTCTCCACAATAAAGGCTGACTGCAATATATCTCCAACATGCTGTCTCTTCTCTTGGTTGTACACTCTCAAACAGCTGCTTTCTATCTCTTGATGTTGTCATCCCACTTGTATCATCGTCTACCTCTTGCTCTCTTGCCTTCGACATTAACACCAGTATGGTTTTTAAATGAGTGTTTTGTCTTTTAATGTGGCTGAAATATTTCAATTGTTTATTTTTTAATTTCTTTCGGTAACCATCTTTTTATTTGCCTTCTCCCAAAAACTTCTGTATGCGACTGTTTTTGTCTTAACATATTCAGCAGGGGGGACAATTCTACCTCTTAAAGTGAAATTTCAAGACTAAATGTGTGGGTCCTGGGGATCCCTAATGTGTGAGTACTGGGGCCCCCTAATTTGTGGGTACCGGGGCCCCATTTTGAGTGAAAATAACAGACCCACTGCCCCCCCCCCACCCCCCAACAAGCACTTTATAAATCAGAATGCATCTGCCTGAAACGTGAGGAACCCACAGTCTGCATAAAAATAAGTCAGATCTGTAAAATGGATGCAGATGCATAACTTAAGTTCTGGAGCAAGACCAAGCCGAGAAGTGGATGAACAACCAGACCTTTCTGTTAGAGTTTACAGCCAGGTAACGCAAAGAAACATATTAAAGTCAACAGGATCGACTTCAACGTCTGCTAAAGTGTCTGTCTCGTAACATCAAGATCAAAATATATCAAATATTGATAAGACCAGTATTTGTATATGGCTCTGAAACTTGAAGCACAACTAAAAGAGATGAAGGCTTATTGCAGGTTTTTCAAAACAAGAGTCTTACGATGAACCACTGGATCCATCAAAGATGCAAACAGTGGGGAATGGAGAGTGAGAAGCAACAACAAAATTCATAACCTGTTTAATTAAATCACCTTTGATCACTGGCATCATGAGAGCTAACAGACTGAAATGGTTGGGGAATACTGAAAGAATGTCAGATGACAGAGAAGTAACAACTGTATACTCAAGGGAGATGAATGGTCATAGACAATTAGGCAGACCAAGAAGACGATGGAGAGATAATGTCCAGGCAGACGTGCAAACACTTGGTGTCACCAATTGGAAAGAGAAGGCCAACCAGAGAGATGAATGGAGGCAGGTGATTTCTGCAGCAATGAACCTCAAGGGCTGGGAATGCTGAAGAAAAAAAAAAGAAGAAGAAGAAGCAGCAGCAGCAGAAGCAGAAGAAGAAGAAAAAGAAGAAGAAGAAGAAGAAGAAAGAAGAAGAAGAAGAAGAAGAAGAAGAAGAAGAAGAAGAAGAAGAAGAAGAAGAAGAAGAAGAAGAAGAAGAAGAAGAAGAAGAAGAAGAAGAAGAAGAAGAAGAAGAAGAAGAAGAAGAAGAAGAAGAAGAAGAAGCAGAAGAAGAAGAAAGAGGATGAGGATTGACTCAACTGCACTGAGTTTTATCCCATATGGCTTGGCCTCTTCAGAGAATTTCCAGCTGCCTTCTGAGAGCATCAGAAAAGAAACTGTTACCATGGAAATAAGATGTCTGAGAAAGGCTGCAGGAGTAACCAGAAGAGATAAATACATTGTGACGATATCCCAAAGAGGGAAAACACCAAAAGAGGAGATGGACAAAGAAAATGAGGTAGAGCCAGAACAACATGGAAAGATAAC